TCACACTTGCCCACATCATCTTCCATAGAACACCCAGAGTGAACTTTTAATGAAACAAATCTTTCCCTACTAAAAGCCCCCAGGTAGTTCATTACCTCCAGATTAAAGTGGTAAGCAACATTCTATATTCTTCTTGACTAGTCTCGAGTCACTTCACCAGCTTCACCTCCAGACACTTCCTCCATAAATCTTGAATCATTTGCTAATGCGTAATAGCAACTGCACTCGTTTTTGCATGCAAAAATTGGTCAAAATATTTTTATTGGCAAAACCTCATACAATTAAACACAAATTCCCACGGAAATTGATGCCAAAAGTTTTTGTTGTTGTTGTTTTTTGTTTGTTTGTTTGTTTGTTTTTTTGAGTTGGAGTCTCACTCCATCGCCCAGACTGGAGTGCAGTGGCCGCTCCCAGCCACAGCCTCGACCTGCTGGGCTCCGGCGATCCTTCTGCCTCAGCCTTCCGAGTAGCTGCAACTACAGGCGCGCATTACCACGCCCGGCTCATTTTGATTTATTGTAGAGATGAGGTCTCGCCAGGTTGTCCAGGTGGGTCTCGAACCCACGGGCTCAGGCAATCCTCTCCCCTTGGCCTCCCAAAGGTGTGGGATTACAGGCTGAGCCACCGAGTCCGGCTGCCAAAAGTTTATTGATTCTACTAATGGGAATAAACTGAAGTATCAGGCAAGTAATGCCATAATAATATCCACTTATAATTATACACAAAGATAACACCTATTTGTCATTGCATTAAAACTTTAAAAAATAATCCTAAAGCAACTAGCTAGTTAGTAGAAGCCACAAGAGCCTGAGTCTCTATGTCAGCGGTGAGAGACTGTGCAAATTAACCAAATTTCATCCAATCTAAGCTGCACATTTTATCACATTAACATTACTGAAATACGGATAAACTTTGCATTCCCTGCTGGCCAGACCACATGTGGCTTAAAAGAGAGATAGTTGTGGAGCTCTCTTAAGAAATGCTGCATTGCCCACACTCTTGATGCCATACAGGATGATATTGTGTGGGAAACGACAAACCCGTGTGACTCAGACTCGTGTGACAAGTGATACAGGAGAGTCAGATTTTAAATATGAGGATGATTTAGAAATACCTCAACCAATTTTTTCACTTATGTTTTACTTTTCATACGTACAAAAGAGGGACCTATGGCAAAAATTGAAAAATCTAAACAAACAAGCTTTATAGTAAAATCAAGCCTTCAAGTGATAAATGTCATAGTTTAGTCAGCAGCATTCCACTCCCACCTCCACACCTTACCTCACTGGTACTAAAATGATGACAGTCTACAACCTGCAACTGAAGGAGCTTTTAATTTGATGAAATGGTGTATTTCACATTGGTGTGTAAATGAGACCATGTCTCACAATCGGTATTTCTAAAACTGAGAAAGATTATTTTATTTCAAAACAACTAAATAAGTGAAATTGTAATGTTCCTAACACAATGAAATGATAAAAACTTGAGTTCACAGATACCCCAGTTACCCAAATTTGATTATTGCACATTGCATACTTGTATTGAAATATTACATGTACCCCATGGTAAAACTATTATATGTCAATAATAATTGACATGTGAACATGTAAAACTATTTTATGTCAATAATAATTAAACAAAAGAGAACAGAAATTCATGCAGTATTTAAAAGAACAATGAGAGAATTCCTTCATTCATGCAACAATTATTTATTGAGCGCCTATTGAGTGTCAGGAATTGTTCAGACATAATGACTGCACCAGTAAATAAAACACACAAAAATCTTTGCTCTCGTGAAGCTTGATTTCATGTGGGTAAGGTAGACAATACACCAAAAAAGTAACCAAATTATAGAGTATGTTAATTTTAAAAACAAAAGAGAAATATAAAACAAAGAGAAAGAATAGAAATTTATCAGGGAGGTGCAATTCTAAGCAGGGACATCAGGGAAGACCTGCAGGAGATGAGGGAGTTAGTCATGTTTGATATCTGAGGGAAGGGTTTTCTAGGCAGAAGGGAGAGCAGGTGCAAAGGCTGGGAAGCAGGAACGCATCTACTGTACTTGAAGAACACAGCAAGAAGGCCAGAGGCACTCAAGGAAGATAAAAGAAAGTGAAAGTAGATGGAAATGTGGTTGAGAGGTCAGGAGATAGGGGATCAGCACATCTTATATATTAGTGTTATTCACCATAAAGAACTAGGTGAGCCACATATGTAATTTAATTTTTTCTAGTTACCACATTAACAAAGTAGAAAGAATATATGAATAATTTTAATGTATTTTATTTAACCCAATATTAAAAGTATTATTTGAACCTGTATGTTATATAAAAAATACTAATGAGATAGTTTACATTATTTTAATCTTTTAAATAGACTTTTTAAAAAAAATGTTAGATTCACAGCAAAATTGAGCAGAAGGTATAGAAATCATTCTTTGTTATACTGAGTCTTTAAAATCTGGTGTGTGTTTTACACTTAGAGTTCATCTCAGTTTGTAATAACCACATTTCAAGTACTCAGTAGCCATATGTGGTAGTGCCTACCATATTGTACAGCACAGATCTGGGCCCTCATAGAACAATGTAATGACTTCGTCTTTTGCCGAGAGTGAATTGGAAAGCAATGGAAAAGTTTTGAGTGCAGAGGGAACATAATGTCTTGGGTTTTCACAGGATACTTCTGGTTCTTGTATTAAGGATAGACAAAGGAAAAAATGTCACATGTCCTAGGACAGACTTTGAACAAGCTCTTATCAAATAGCAAAACAATATAGACGAGCGAAGTTCAATAACCAGATTCTGGTTTGGAGAATGAAGGTAATTATAGTCCTTTCAAAGCTATGTCTTTGAACAGGCTGTGTATTATTTCTGCAATATGGGATTCTCTCTTCATGCTTCAAAACCCAGATAAACCATTATCTTCTCTAATATGTCACCAAGTCCTGCCCTAGAAATAACTTATCCTTTTACAATACTTAATCATAATCCTTGGTTACATGCATTTTCTTCTCATGGACCCAGATCCTCAACAGAGTTCTTGAAAAGTAGTAAGCTCTCAATAAACATTTTTTAATTTGAAGCAAAAAATTGTGAGCTAAACTTTCAAAAAATTAAATGTCCATCAAGAGTGATATATTTGTATCATCAAATATTATACAGGCAGGGAAATGAACAAACTAAAACTATATGCAGCATGAATCATTATAAATATAATTTGAAGTGAAAGAGGCAAGACACAAAAGAGTATGAACCATATGATTCCATTTGCATAATTTTTAATACTGGCAAAATTATCAAAGCTGACAGGGAATGAGGTACACTTGGAGATAGTAATTGCAAGAGAGAATGATGGGGTTTCTGGGCTTCTGATAATATTCCTTTTCTTTCTCTAGTTATACAGCGTGTCCAATTTTTAAAACTTCATTGAGCTGTGCAGTTACAAATGTATCATCCTATATGCATATAATACTTCAGTTAAAAGCTTACATGAAAGAGATATGTAGCTCCCAACAGACAAGAAAACAATTCATTTTAAATTATTTTAAGTCCAAACAATTTTATTCAGCTTTCTTACAAGCCAATATACAGGAATAAATGTATGATTTATTAACATACACAGTATATGTATTTTTATAGTTAAAAACTTCCACTAGTACAACATATGTTAGGTACTTTGAATCAATTTTTCTCTTTTCTCAAAAAAGGCTGTGAGTCATACTTTCGAAAATATTTTTAACATGCAGTAATGTAGTGTTTTTATTTAAAACCAAGATGAAGTTGAATGCGGAAAACTCACACCTGTAATTTCAACACTTTGGGAGGCCCAGGCAGGAGGATTGCTTGGGCCCAGGAGACCAGCCTAGGCGACATAGCAAGACCTCTTCTCTACAAAAATAAAAATGAAAAAGTAGTCAGGTGTGGTGGCATGTGCCTGTAGTTCCAGCTACTTGGGAGGCTGAGGCGGAAGAATCCCTTGAGCCGAGGAGGCCTAGGCTGTGATGAGCTGTGATGTTGCCACTGCAGTTCAGCCTGAGCAGCAGAGTGAGATCCTGACTCAAATAAAACCCAGATAAAGCCACACAGGGCATAAGTGCCTGAGTCCTGTCCAAAATCCTGGTCCATAAAATCTGAAGTAAATAAAATGTTTGCTACTTAAAAAATAATGATACAGCTGGGCTCGGTGGCTCAGCCTGTAATCCCGTACCTTTGGGAGGCTGAGGTGAGTGGATTGCCTGAGCCCACGGGTTCGAGACCCGCCTGGGCAGCAAGACCTCATCTCTACAATAAATCAAAAAATCAGCCGGGCGTGGTAGCACATGCCTGTAATTCCAGCTACTTGAAAGGCTGAGTCTGGGCGACAGAGTGAGACTCCAACTCAAAAAAAAAAAGATACAAATAAAACACATAGACAACCCTTGTTTTTACTTGTATTCTATAATTTGCTATAGGTATGATTTAATTGAGCATTTAAAAACGTGCAAAGTCATGTTATGTATTTATTTTAGTGCAGTGCTTCTCAACTAGGGTAATTCCCACTCCCAGCCCCCAGAGGTAGTTGACAATACCTCAAGACATTTTTGGTTGTCATAACTGAGGGAAATGAAGTTGCTCCTGGCATCTAATATGTAAAACAGGCCAGGGATATTGCTAAGTACCCAACAATGCAGAGGATAGCTCCTCACAGCAAAAAATTATCCAACCTTAAATGTCAGTAAGGCTGAGGTTGAGAAATCTTGCTCTAATGTACGAACATAATGGTCTTGACATTTTTAAATCAGAATTGTCATAACCAATTTTAATCTCTTACTTTTTAGAGTTTTTTAAAATATTGAAATGGTTTTGTTCAAAGTGAATAAATTTTCTTAAAATAAATTAGGTATTGTTAGCATCTTTTACATTATTTTTCTTAAGTGTTTGCCATGATTTCTTTTTCAGTTTGCTTTTTTTAAAAGTTTGAGAAATACGTTGTTTATAACAATTTTATTTTTCTTTCTGCAGGCTAGACGAACAAAAGAATATTTTGTCAGAATTTCAAAGGGATTTAAATGAATTTGTTTTATGGTTGGAAGAAGCGGATAACATTACTAGTATTCCACTTGAACCTAGAAATGAGCAGCAGTTAAAAGAAAAGCTTGAACAAGTCAAGGTAATTTTATTTTCTAAAATCCCCCAGGGTCTGCTTGTATAAAGAGTATATAAATCTATTTCTTAATTTAATCATTGGTGTTCTGCCCATTAGGTTATTTATAGTTTCTTACTAAAGTGTTTTTCTCATGACTTTATTTTGCTTTAACCCAATATCTTCTATCCCATGTAAATATGTATATATGTATTTATGCATCCATGTAATAAGGGGGACCTAAAAATACTGGAATTATCTTTTGGAGGATTGGCCCTTGTAGGACAGGCATCCCCCTCCGGATAAGTGTTCTAGGAACCCATTGGCATGTGTACCAGCTACTATTGTTGTGAGGGGTGCTTTAGGCTTCCATGAAATTTTGTTCTTTTTTTAGAGATTCTTTCAACACATTTGCCCATTTCATGATGGGTGATTTATGAGTGAACGTGCCCACACCATGCTGAGCGTTCAGCAATTTTTCACCCAAAATAGCATGAGCCCCATGGTTCACCCTCCTATTCACCTGATCTCACCTCAAGTGACTTTTTTGTTGTTGTTGTTTCCCAGATGCAAAAGTCCTCAAAGGGAAATGTTTTGCCAAGGTGCAACAAAAAACAGCAGAAGCATTAAAAGGCATAAACATTGACAAGTTCAGTAACTGTTTTGAGCAGTGGAAAAAGTGTCTTGATAGGTGTATTGCATGAAACGGAGAGTAATTTGAAGGTGACTGAAGTTTAAACATGTGAGAATAAATACACTATTTTTAAAATAAATAAATTCTGGTTTTTTAGGTCCCCCTTTTATGTATATTGCATCTACACGCACACACACACACACACACACACACACACACACACGGATGTATACATTTAATACATGCATCTAAATATGTATAATAGATGACAATTATTTTCTGAAACTAATTTGAAATTAATTTTAGACTTATTTAAGAATTCTACAACAGCCAGGCTCGGTGGCTCAGCCTGTAATCCCGCGCCTTTGGGAGGCTGAGGTGAGTGGATTTCCTGAACCCGCGGGGTCGAGACCC